ACGAGAATCGCCTCGACTGGAGTGACGAGAAAGCAGGGACCAGAGAGAGCGCCCTCCCTGCTCCCGCCTGGATGCACACTCAGACGCCACGCCCAGGGTCCCCACCGGCAGGTCCACAGACTCTCCGGACGCCCCCACACGCTGTGAAGCCCGTGCTGGTGTCTGAGCACGACGCTGGTCTCCAGGGAGACTGGAGACCGAGGCCCTCCTCGCACAGCGGCGGCACAGCCGTGCCCCTGCCGCCCGGGCCCCGGCACTGCACAGGCAGAACAAAACCGTGCCTTGGAAAACATCCCTGCTCCTCCCTAATCATCACTGTGACGTCAAATGTCCATGGGGACATGAAAGGACCTTCCAGTCAGACCTTCGGGTCACTGCCCCAGTGGCCACACCTGTCCTGTAAGAGGGAGAGACGACCAGCTGCAACCCCACCCCTGGGCTCCTGTGACCGTGCAGCCAGGCTCAGACAGAGCCGAGCACGGGGAGACAGTTGTCACCCAGCCACCGACACCCCCACTGTGCCATCTCTAGTACTCGTCTGCTTCCTGGAGCTCCTGCCACTTGTCCGGGCCACGCGGTCGTGAGTGCCTGTAGCATGGCAGCGGTAGCAACACAAAGTTTAACAGCGAAACAGCCTGTGCTGAACACAAACGACCTGCACCAGCAGAGGCCCACCCAGAGGGGGACGGCCCTCGTCCCCCCCCCCCACTGGGCACAGACAGCACACCCAGGGCCGGCGCCACCCCGTCACTGGGAGGAGGGGCTTGGCCCTGTGGGGGCCCAGGAGGCAGAGGCCAGGCAGCCTGAACACCTCCACGTACCCCACAACTCACCCCCCCAAACAGGACATGGACTGTTAAAAACAAACAGGAAGGCAGACAAACACCCAAAGAACCGAGTCCTCGAAGTCCGAGCAGGTGGGTGAGAAACGAGCACCCGCCTCGTCAGACGGGCGACGGCTCGTGGTGGGGACGGCGGTGTCCGGAAGGCCCCCCAGCCCAGGAGACAGAGGCTCTGTCCCCATGGGGACACCAGGGGACTGGCCTCGGTGACCCCAGGGAAGCTTCCCAAGGCCCAGTCACAGCAGTCACACACTGGTGACCTCAGGGCCACAAGCCGAGTGACAGGCCGCACTGTCGCCAGAGAGCAGGTGGCATTCACTCACTTCACCGCTGTGCCGGTCACCACCCCTCAGGTGAGGGCAGGCGGCAGCCGGTAAGAGCTGGCGGGCATCCAGCCAACACACCCGTCCCCACCCAGCTTCATTTTAAACAGTACGTTCTGGGGGTCACCACAAAGGCTTCTGGGCTGTGGGCGTGGGGGGACCCTCACGCTGGGGGAAGCAGCAGAGCCAGCAGCTGGCATTAGCAGACCGAACGTACTAGAAACACAGGAGGGGACACCTGCTGCACTTCCCCGTCCCTGATGCCTCTGCCAGGCTGAGCAGTGACCTGACACCAGAGAGCCGGCCCAGGCTCAGAGGACCGGCCACCTGCTCCAAGGCAAGTGGCCCCCTGGAGGCAGGTTGGCCCCGCTGCAGCCCAGTCAGGCCCGGCCCTGATGTTTTACTCACAGCCGGAGTTGGGGGTGGGCGGGTACAGCAGCAGGCACGGAGTGCTCCCCAAGAGAGCAAGGGGGGAGGCGGCAGGCGAGTCCGAGTCTGTGCTGCGGGTCTGTGCACCGCGGCGCGCCAGGACACGGCCGCCCACAGGGGTCCCGACCGGGGAGGGCTGGGCCCAGGGCGCTGGACACGCACAGACCTGGACAGGGAACACCACCGCAGACCCCGACTCCGACCTGAGGGCCCCCCAGCAAGCCCTGGGCGGCGACCGGGCCGGCAGCCACTCCTGGCCGCAAGGGCGCCTGCTCCCCACAGGGACTGCGGGGTCTCCCAACAACGCACGGAGGCGCCAGGCAGGTGTGCGGCCTCCCCAGTGCCCCCCCGACGCTGCACTGATGACACTGTGGCTCTGCAGCTGCGAGCCCCGCGACACAAAGGCCGGGCCCCACAGCGGTCGTGGTGGAGGGAAGGGGACCCTCTGGACATTCGCCGAGCGAAGCAAACCGCAACTTTCTTCCAGTCCCCACTGGCCGGACCTTCCTCTGACGCCTCTGGGTTCTGTGTTCCGTTCTTGTCCAAGGTGCACGACAGACGGGCAGGCGGGAGAGCACGGCAGCCCGCCGGCCGCCCTGCCGAACACGCCCACTGGTCTACAGACCTCGGGGAGCGCCCTTGGGCGCAGGCAGCCCCCAGAGGCGACAGCACGGGGCGGCCAGCCTGGCAGTGGGACGGAGAAGCAGCGAGGACTCCCTCCTGCCACCCGCCCGGCCTGCCAGCAGGAGTCGCCCTCGAGAGCCAGGCTGGTGGCCCTCGATCCTCTCCTGCGCCCCACCCAGGAAGGCAGCTCTGCACTGCAGACCCCAGAGGGGCATCGAGCGGGGCATCGAAGCGAAGGTCCTGCCCCCAGGGCCTGCGAGGGAAGGGTCCGAGGCTTTCCCTGAGGTCACACGTCGCTGGAGGGCCACAGCAGCTTGCGGAGCTGGCTGACCTCCACGAGCCCCTGCCCCGAAACCCATGGGGGACCCAGAAACTCAGTGACGGCCTTGACAGAGGGGGGCCAAATGCCCTGTAAGATCTGGCAATCTGTGGCTAAAGCCAAACCTCGTTTTTTTTTAAATTAGTTTGGATAAGTTCTCTACAGGTTCTGTAGTTTAAGACTCCAGAACATTGTCTTAAAAACTGCACCTCATCACACAGCCTTGGGAAGAAGGCCTCCCAGCCCGGACAGGAACATGTGTCAACACCGCACGGGCTGCGGCAAGGGCGCCAGCGCGGTGCACCTGAGGGCCCCGCAGGTGGCGCTGTCTTCGGTACAGCCCACCCGAAAACCAGCCGCCCCGTAAGGCCCTTCTGGTACAGAAGGCCAAGCCGCTCCCTGAGGCCGTCTTCTCCCCAGAAGCCGTCTGGGGAGCGATGGGACGAACCCCTGCTTCACACGCCTGGTGGCCCTGGGACGGGGACGTGCCCAGAAGGGACCCCTGCCCCCGCCCCCCGGCACGCCTGCCGTGGTGGGCTGGCGCAGTGAGGACTTCCTGTGGGCACTGTCACTGCGGTCAGCAGGGGCTGGCCCGGAAAGCCCACTTCTCCCGGGCCCCGCAGAGTCCAGGCTGTGAGCACCACCACCAGCCAGCGCCCCTTCCCAGGAAGGCACCAGCGCAGGCCTTCCACACAGTGTGTCTTTTCGGTAATAAACGGTTACTTTTGTAATTAGGAGAAAAGTCCTTTACTTCGCAAAGTCACAATGACTTGGAAGCGACTCAGCTGTTCTCCCAAGTCCCCATAATCCTGGCATGTGGCACGGGCGGTGGGAGACCCCAGACGCACCTCCCTCACCTCGCTCGGAGCTGAGCACTGAGCTTCCACGGGTACCCGCCCGGCCAGGCCCCCGCCCCCCCGGGATGCAAGCACACGCGCCTGCAGCCCGGTGCACCCTTCTCTCTGCCAGAGCCCAGAGCCCCGGGAGTGAGGCACGGCCCCGAAGCCGCAGAGACCGCACACCTGCCACAGCTTGGTGTCAGACACGTGGTTGCAGGTTTCTCTCACGTTACAACTCTTTACACTTAAAAACCCCAACACGAGGGAAAAGCTCTAATAGGAACCAGGGTGATCACACCAAAGAAGTTAAGGGCAAAAGCGAAGAATCAGATCGACCCCGCCCAGACGCAAGTCCGAGGCCTGTCTCTGCAAGGGCTGCAGTCGGCCCCATGTCCGGTCTCGGCCAGCACGGCCGCCCCCAGAGCAGAAGGCCCGTAAGAAGCCCACCTCTGCTGGCTCCCCTGGACATGACCCATGTTTACCACCTTCTCACGCTCTGTGGAGCTGCCTGAAAACTCTTCCCACTCCGCCCCACACCTGGGCAGGCACCAGGAAATTGTCGCAAACACGCAGGTGCACGAGAGTCTGTGTTTAAAGAGGGGGCAGAGTGGGAACCAGCACTGTGAAAGCCGGCCATTCACCAACCATCTGAGAGGCCGCCCGCACACTCTCACCCCGACACCAGCCGGGAGGAAGAAGAGGTGCGAGACCAGCACCTCAGCATCAGCCTGCCTGTGCCCTTCTTGGGGCACAGCGGAGAAAGGGCCCGCCCTGCGTCTGGGGGAAGGCCAGCAGCAGCCCTGGCAGCCCTCCGAGAACCGCCGTGCACCGCACCGAAGGGAAGCCCTGCTTCAAGCTTCGCCGTGGATGGGCTGGTCTGATCGGGGCTGGCAGACCTCCCTGCCCAGCAAGGCAGCAGGCAGAGCGGACACAGGAAGCCGGGGTCCCCAAGGCACCACAGAGCAAAAACCACGGAGACAGAGGCCCCGGCGCAGCTGAGCACAAGCACGGTCCGGGGGCAGCAGCTCTGCCCAGCCCGGCCTGCGGGAGGCCGGTTCCTTCCCAGGGAAACCGAGTGGCCTGTGAAGGACAGACAGGCCACTGAGAGCTGCAGCCCTAGAAGACACCAAGTGGGGAGGGACACTTTACAGAAAAAGGAAAGTCGAAAGTTTCCATGGCTGTGTAGTTTGGGAAAACTGCTTAAAGCAAAATATTTAGAAACACCCCATGTGGAGTCACAGGTTCATAACCACAGTTGATGCTTTTTTGTTGAAAAATCAAGAGGGGCTCAGGAAGCAGCAGTGTGGGCTCGGCTCATCACTGAGAATCCTGGTGTCCTGGACAAGTGCCACTGGCCACAGTGCTGTGGCCACCCCGGCCCAGAACTCCCAGCCCCACTCAGGCTTGACATGCAGCCCGCAGCACTCCCACAGAGAGGGTCGCCATCCCTCTGCTGCCCGAGTGGCATCTGCCCCATGCCTGTGTCCGTCCCAGGACCAATGTGGCCTCTTGCCCCAGGAAAAGGTCACCCAGATGCTGAGCTTTCTAGCCAGGCCCCTCCAATGAATTGAAGCCTCAAAACAGCCTTCGGGCGAGCCGGCCCAGGCTGGGCGTGCCAACTCACCGGTGCTGGGCACGTGGTTCGCACGGGCAGGGCTCAGCAGCTCCACGGGCTGGTCTCGTCCGGAGAGTCCATCTGCGGGACAGAGAGAGTGTGGGGTCTGGCGTTAGAAACGCTCCGATTTCAGCAAGGACACTGCACACCCCGAGACTGCAGGGAGCGAGCCCTTGTGAACACTGGGAACCCATTCCTTCCTGCTTTACAGAAGCCGGACTCACAGTCAACACAGACCACTTCATCAGCTGAATTGGAAAACGAGCAGCCCTCAGCAGAGCAGACAGAACAGTCCGCCAGGGAAGTCCTCAAACTGGCCAGTGCCAACTACTGGCCAAACTTCTGGCTCAGCTGCCCGGTCCCCTTCGGTCGGCAACCACCCCGCCGCACCTGCTGCACCCGTCGGAAGCCAGCTCTCCTGCACCAGCCATGAGCATAAAGGTCACACGGACAGACAGACAGACGCGATGAGCTGCTTGCCCGGGCCCCGCCCTGACACTCGGCCGGCATCTGCGGGGGCCGGCCAGAGACACACACCTGCTCCAGAAACACCGACCAGCAATGCTCGGCACCAGCCGGCCTTCCGGACCGTGCTCGGGAGTGCTGCGCGTCCCGGCCACCCCACACATCTGCAGGGGGCAGCTGGGGCCCAGACTCCCCACGTTGTCTCCGACAGAGCAGAGAGTGAGCTCTGGCAGGGCTTCCAGGAATCACGCTCTTTGGTGTCAGCTTCCGACAGGTGTGTCCAACACCCGCAGTGGGGGGCTCGGCAGCGTCCACGCCGGCGGGAGGCACCTTCACCCCCAACCCTGGGGAGCATGCGCAAGCTGCCTGGAGTGGCCGTCTCTCAATCAAGACAAAAACCAGTAACTCCAGGTCTACCGACGCTAACAAAACCTGTCTTTTAACCAAGACAGGTGCACTCTGTGCGGCCTTCACGTTTCCCGTGGCACAGACACGCTGCCTGTGGAGGTGTCATGGCCCGAGATGAACACCGTGACCCAGGAAGGCCGAACAGCCCTTGACCATCTGAGGGAGGGGGGAAGGCTTGCGAGGGCCCAGGTGCCCGCACCCACCACGGCCCGAGGGAGCCACCCCGCTGCACATGCCGGCGGGGCGGGGCAGCTCCGACTGCGCACCTGTGGGACGGCCACTTGGTGAACCAGACACCAGAATGTGCGGTCTCTTCCCCAAGCAGCAGCCCCTCCCAACGCTGGCCACTCGGAGGGACCAGCACAGTTACGAGAGGGCAGTCCGTGATCGGGAGGTTCCGAGTGAGGCAACAGGCTGCAGGCCCCAAGGGCTCTTCCCCTGCAGGCCTGGACGTGGCCCTGCACCCCAAAGTCTGAGTGCCTCCCCTGCCATGCAAACAGCGCCCCCAAGACAGCAACAGGGTTTGGGTTCGGGAAACCGTCTCATGCCTTCCTCCTGAAAGCAAGTGACATGAAATGGACTCCGTCTACAAATGAAACAATTCATTTCCGAAACTGACGAGTCCGGGAAAACACACACATGCTGACCTCTGACCCACTGCCGACACTGTCAGAAACATCCAGGGCCTGCGGGGACCCCGTGACACTGCAGCCCCTGATGGGCAGGGCGGGGCCGGGGCTCGGAGGAGGAGCAGGCCGTCCTCCTGGGCGCCACCAGCCAGGACATGCCCCTGGCTGCCTCCTCAGTGTCCACCCTCAGCCTCCATCTGTGTGGGACTCCAGAACCGGGAGCACCGAGGGCGCCAGATGCCAGCCGGGGCCTGGGTTTCACGGTCTCACAGCAGAGGCAGCCACGCAGGCCACTCCGTCCGGGCTAGGGACCGAGCTGCCTGCCGGCCCCAGGTCCTGAGGGTGGACACGAACACTCAGGAGCTGCGCGAATCAGTGACCCCTACCACCACACCCTGTGCCTGCTCAAACTCGGGCAGGTGTTGCGACCCTCCGAGCAGCCGCAGGTTTTAAGCCACCGTGTCGCCTGGCTGAGCCTGGCTCACCCCCAATGTGTCTGGGCCTGCGGTGCGTGGTGCCAGGTTGGCAGGAAGACACTCACTGTGCGCATGAACTAGCTGACAGCCCGGGAAACACTGCCGTCCGACGAGAGCGTGACAGAGTCCACACACCTGGGCCCAGGAGAGGGATGTCGCCCGCGCCCAGGACGTGGGCCCAGCCTGGCTGCCGTCCCAGCTGTCTGCGACCCCAGCCCAGCCCTGACCCTGTCACACCCTCGTGGGATGAGGTCTGACCCAGATCCAAGGAGACGACGAGGGGGCCACCACGTGACACCGCCTGCAAACAGCAGCACAGTCTCCGCGAGCACAGGGACCGGACCGCAGAGCAGTGGGCCCAGGGCGGGTCCTCCCACACCTGCCACGGGGGACGGGGAAGCAGCCCGAGCCTGAGATAGCTGGCTGTGCAGCCTCCCACCTCCTTTGCGGAGCGGCCCCTCCCCTCAGACCCCTCACCCAGCAGCGCGTGGAACGAGAAGACCCCCAAATGCTGGCTCCGGAACTGGGGGGCCAGGGGGTGCACGCAGAGGACAATCTGCTACAAGTTCATGACCTCAGACGTGTCAGTCCAAGCCCACACCCCGACTAAACAACTGAAAGGAGACTTTTTCAAGGCTGCCAGTGAGAGCTGAACGTAGCTTGGGTCTGAGGGGACCTCTGGGAAGTGCCCACTGGGTGCAGCGGGACAATGAGGCTGCACCAGTCAGGACCCAGCGCAGCACGCGTGTGCAATGCCTGTGGCGCCTGGGACTGAAATTCTCTAAGAAGCAGACGTGGAGGAGGGGCCGAGGACATGGAAATGGCGTAACGCTCAGGGTCCCCCCGCCATGTTGAACTTCAGTTTGACGAGACTTTTGAACCGAGGACAAAGGTACCGGGAGGGACACTGCAGGCCAACCGGGCAGAGAGGCTTCCAGCCAGGGAGCGAGCAGCAGAGGGACAGGCCTGCCCCAGCCCGGGGGCTCCAGGGAGAAAAGTCGGAGCAGGGGAAGGCAGGCGTCTCCAGGGGAAGACCCTCTGCACAGGACAGATGTCCCCGGATAGCACACGGCTGCTCCGTTTGCAACCTGAAGGTGCAGTTCCGTGTGTGCGTTGCCAGAACAGTTCTGCGCCCGTCACCGGGCTGCCGTGTGCCGCAGCATCAGGACACCACAGTGCCAGGACTCCGAGTCTTCTGCACAGAACGGCGGCACACGACCCAGTGTGCCCCCCCCTCCCCGGGTGCCCGGCCGAGCAGCCTGGAGGTGCCGGCTCACAGAGACACACGTGGTGTGTCCCCTGCATCAGTACTCGCAGCGCCCAGGCCAGCCCCAGGGCCCCGGGCAGAGGGTCTGCTCCACGTGCCAACAGCAGAATACGGGCCCCACACCGGTCAGTCTCCCTTCGCTCGCACGTGCTCGAGACTTCCCATGATGCAAGTTTTTCCAGAGCACTGGAAACTGGCGCCGGGCTCCACTTCCTGCGCGGCACCCTCGTCTGCTCCAGCACCTGCAGGGTCTCCACCTAACCGGCCCCCCGCCAGCCAGCGTGCAGGCCCACCTTCTCCCCGGACGAGCCCAGGGCACCTGAGCCGCGATGAGCAGCCAGCAGGTTTCACTGCGGGGTGGGGGGGGGGGGTGCCTAGCACCCACGCCCTGGGCACCTCGGGCTGGTGTGGCTCTGCGGCGACCCCCAGGCCACCTGCCCTGCTTCTGTCATGCCCGGCCGGGGTTCCTGTCTTACCCGAAGGCTGTTAGGGCAGACAGGGCCCAGTGTCCCAGGCCCAGGCAAGCCAGGAGGCCGAGCGCAGTGAAGAGGCAGCCACGGTCAGCACCGCGCAGAAGGGCGATTGCAGCCGGTCACTTGGCAATGTTCTGTGCAAAGGCCTCCTCGCCCACACCTATTTGAGATACGATCCACAAAACCAAAAGGAACACAGAGCAGCTCCGGCCACAAGCCGCAAGGAGGAGTGCCGCTGGGAGCGCCCCGAGGGCACAGAGGGTCTGTCCCGTCCCCAGCACGAAGTGCTCAGAGTGGGACAACACAGGGCGGGACACTGGGGAAGGAGCAGAGCCCACAGCCTGGAGGGTGGGCACAGCTGGCAGACGGCCAGCAGGGCTCTGGCACTCAGACAAGCCTCGCTCTGTTCTCTGGTCTGAGGGGCACTTCCTGGAGGCAGCTTCTCGGCAAGTCTCCAAGCCGGTGCTAGGGCCGGGGACAGTCCTCCTGCTCCTCCCGCCTGCCTCTCCCCCTCCCTCAGCTGTTCCCAAAGTCGACCCCGCCCAGCTCAGCCACGAGTGAGAGAGGGACACAAATCTGGAGAAAGGTCCCTGCCCCCAGAGGACACCCATCCGCCCCACGGAGACCACAGGGTCAGGTGAGTCCCTCCGGAGCCACGGGGAGTACGGAGGCAGAGGAGGAAGCAGGAACCTCAGTGCCGACCCTGCAGGCTCCTGAGTCCGTGTGAGAAGTGACCGACGACAGAAGGCACCCCAAGTCCATGGGGGCCGCACCCACTCGGCACCCCTCTCAGCACAGGCTCCCAGGACAAAGTCGGCAAGGCCCTGGGGCCAGGCAGGCCGACCAACACAGGGAGCCCCTGGAGCACCCACGGCGGCCCCCTGCCAGCCCCAGCCGCTGCGTCTCTGGAGAGGTCCTGATCTCTGACCCACAGCAGCCCCGGGGGACACAGGGACCCTCCCCCACCACGGTAGGCAGCCCGGCTTCCACGCACGTGAGCTTTGCCAGCCCTCGGGCCCAGCGCTGTCTGCTCGGTGGCCGGGGAGACGGATGCTGGGGGAACATGAGAGCGCACTCTGAAGAGCAGGCCACGGCAGAAGCTCCTCCCACCCGCCTGCCCCCGCATGTCAGCGATGCTGCCACACATCCGCCAAGACACAGACCGGTGCCCCCAGGCCAGGACACTGATGAGGCAACAGCCACTCCTGACACTGCGAGTCTGCCACAGACACCCCTGAGAGCAGAGCCGTCCCCCCGCCCCCGGAGCACTCCCCCCACTGCTGAGGGGCTCAAAGGGGCCGTGGTGCAGTGGTAGGGGCCTGGAGACCAGGTGCAGGTTAGGCAGAGGCTCAAGAGAAACGCG